AACCGTTAAAAAAGAACCCTGTATTTATTATATTTTTGCATATTCATTGTATTCCCACTTGCGAGACGAAAATAATTAAAAAGAAACGGAAAAAGTGGTTACAAGGAACCGGTACTGATTTATCGCCAACATGGGGTTTTGTAGGCAAATGTTGGGGATCACATCCTTTTCAAAGGGAACTGAGCGAGGATCAGTCGTCTCCGGAAAGAGTTCAAAGATGGGATTAGGGAAAAAGTGTCAGCCAATTAGAGGGATCATTGGAAAACTACAGAGTCTTATAGGTGGATCAGAAAATTTTATCACGACACAATCAAAATCTCACGACACCCTCCCTCCCCGTCAAGTGGGCAGGAATTCGCCAGCAGTCCAGTAGCCAGCGGATTAATTATCAAGATGGCGGCTTTGGCTGGTATTCGAGTGGTTGAACTCGCAGGACTTGCTCCTGCACCGTTTTGCGGGATGATTCTAGCTGATTTCGGCGCGTTGGTCACGCGAATAGACAAAGTAAGAACTATGTCCACTACCGATAGACTTGCTCGGGGAAAGAGGTCCATATCTGTAGACTTACAGACTCCTGAGGGGATGGCCATCGTGCGTAAGCTCTGCTTGAAATCCGATGTTTTGATCGAACCTTTTAGACCTGGAGTTATGGAGAGATTGGGATTAGGACCAGAGATACTGTTGAAAGATAATCCAAGATTAATTTACGCTCGATTAACAGGTAGTCAAAGTAGAGTCTAAGTGTTAGTTGCGGTAATTAACAACAGCAACAATCTGTAATTGGAATAACAAAAATTGCAAAAACAAAAAAAAAAACCCCAACAGCAAAATGAAATTCATGATGTATGTCCTTTAAACAGCAAGTGTTTAGATTTTTACCTATATTTAATTTTTATTCACTGCTGGTGAAGTGACATCAACACTGGGGATTGTAAACATTCAACTCATCAAAAGTAGACAGTAGGTAATATGAGGTGATATTTTTAAGTTATTTTCCCAATTTGTAAGCCTTGTATATGATGTAATGATAGTCAACTTACAAAAGTTGACTCAAGTTGAGAGAGCATTTTGTTGTTGTTATAAAACAAGAGACACACTTGTTTGTTCATAGAGGTGCTCTGAAAAGTCATTTTTATTATGTCCACTTACTCACCAATGTGGAGGTGAATAGGGACAATATTTACCCAGTTGCAAAAGTGGTGAGGTAAAATTTACCACTTTCACCAACACTGAGATGAATAATTATTTCAGTACATACCAAATTAAAATTTAACTGTTGATGTCTCTTTGGCTGCTCAGAGGTGAGTGGTACTGGCTAGGTAATTCTAAATTAGCCAAAAGTAGACTGCATAATTAACCTGCGTGGTGTATGCTGAATTTGGATTTTTTTCCAACACAAAAGAGAGGGGGTTGAGTTAATTTCACCTACATTAACCCCTCAACTCCTGAGGTGAGTAATTACATGGGTCCATGTTGTCATTCATGGTTCATGGAGTTGAAATTCCTTTTTCCTTAATATTAAGGGTGTTATTAATAATAAAAATCATCATGTTTAAAACTGAATTGCAAAATTATTTACAATTCAAAGGCTGGTACAGACAGGATGTCATACTAAGAGAGCTGGTCATGACATAAACTATGTTTCCCAAACTGGGCTGCTTTCAAAGCTTGGACGCAAGGATGAGAAACCCACTGCACCCATCAACCTTCTAGCAGATTTTGCAGGTGGAGGACTGTCATGTGCTTTTGGAATTTTGCTAGCTTTGTTTGAGAGATCTCAATCTGGAGAAGGCCAAGTTGTTGATGCCTCTATGGTAAAGTGTTGTTGATATTTTTATTATTGATATAAATAATATGAAAGAGAGAGCTGTGCTTGATGTTTTCTGTTAACCCATCAACTTACACATGTGGTTAACATGTCACCCTCATGGAGTAATTTTTATTTTATTAAGTCAGTTTTTAAAGATTTCTTTTGTTTATAACTGTTTTTTTTTAACTTTTTTCTTTTTTTTGAAGGTTGATGGCGCAGCATATCTAGGATCTTTTATTTACAAGAGTCTTGATATGGGATTCATCTGGCAGCATCCTGAGCGAGGCAGGAACTTGTTGGATTCAAACCTTTTTATGATACATATCAAACATCTGATGGGAGATACATGGCTGTTGGAGCCATTGAGCCCAAGTTTTATCAAAATCTTATTAAAGGTTTGTCGTTAACATTTGTTCTTTGCACCATTAAGTTGTAAATTTAAATCAAAAAAAACATTTTTAAATGCTGTGATTGGTCATTGAATACCATTGAATCTGATGATTGGCTATTTAAACAAGCAGTGGCCATTTTCTTGAGCAAAAGGGTATTCTAAAGATCTTCACTTTAGCCACATTATTTTATGAATCTGACCTTAATTTGTAAAGGTTTGAAGAGAGTCTTGCTATAATCTTTGACTGAATCGCTAGATTTATACAAATTCCTAACTTTTGGCCAGTCATCAAAAGTTACAACATTTTGGGAGAAAAATGTAGTTAAGAACACTTGAATTGCAAATTTAATACCTTTTTTTCATTTTTGCCCATTGAAATTGGGAATATAAACCCTGCAAAACACCATTGCATTGCATCTGCATTTCTTCCAGCAAATCAGATGAATGCAAAATTAAAGACCTGCAAAATAAAATACCAATAAGGTAGTCGCTCTAAGGATTTTTAGAGTATAAGGTTTGCATTTTACTGAAGGTGATAAATTTTTTTTAGGGCTCCAGTTGGAAGAAAAACTTCCATCTCAATTTGATATAGAGCAATGGCCAAAGGCTAAAGAGGAAATTAACAAAGTGTTTCTAACAAAGACTCAGTCTGAGTGGTGGGAATTATTCAAGAATCTTGATGCTTGTGTAACACCAGTTCTCACTATGGATGAGGCACCTTATGAACCACACAATGAAGAAAGAAAGATGTTTATTTGGAGTGATGGAGCATATGAACCTACTCCTGCTCCCAAATTGTCCAGAACACCAGGCTGTTGTGAGAGCAAGCCTCAGCCAAAGATTGGGGAACATTCCATAGAGGTTTTACAAGAGATTGGTTATACAAGAACAGAAATTCAACAGTTGATTAGTGAGGGTGTGGTTGATTACGTAGACATGAAATCTTCTCTTTGACAAGGTGTAGGATGCCTTTTTTGACCAGTTAATAAAAAATTTTAGGTTCAGTTCTGGGGACACAAGTTTATGGAGGCGTATAGTTGTTCAAGTTCGTACAATTTTGAACAGAATAAAAAAAAAAAAAATTTGTAAATAAATCCTCTTGACACCCCCCCCCCTCCCGCCACCATCACCATCATTCTCACAGAGCATGGCTGAAGATGCGTATACCAAAAGAAAAAAACCATCGGAATGGGTTTGAGGGGGGGAATTGTGCGATCATTCCGTCCACAATTCAGATGGTTCATTGGATAAAGCAGACGAAAAACTTTCCGCGTTACTCGAGAACACCATCCAGTCCTGAAATTGTTTAAGAGAGTTTGCCATTGTAACCTCCTAAGGTCACCCAACGATTAAAACAAGCTGCCCTCCGCTTGCGCGAGTTCTCTCCCAAACCTCATACCCAGACCTTTCACAGCCACGCAGTTGTAAGTTACAGTTACACAGTAGAATCTGGGTATGAGAATATTTTCTCCCCGCACTAGCCTCACCCCCCGACAACCTGTAAAGAAGTCTGAGCATCAGAGTGAAGTTGTCTTTGTTTGTGATGTCTGCTCAGTAAGTTGAAGCTATCAGCGATAACAATTATTTGCCGATTATTTCTTACCCAGGGGATAACAAAGCCTGTTTCAAGCGTTCAGTTGGTACAAGGGCATAGCTAGCGGAGGGGGGTTCCTAGGGTGCTCGTGACCTCCTCTTTGTAAGCCTTTATTTGTCACATCAAGTAAAACACGGCGTGGAGGTTGACATGACAATCTGGTGGAGTACCCTCTTTTTGACACAGCGTGACCATTCCCCCCCCTCCTCCTTTGAAAAATTCTGGCTACGCCACTGTAGTAAAACGAAGCGTGATAGTAAACGTTGCGACAGTAACAGAGGAGTGAGCAAACGAGTGAGATTTGTGAATTGACCCAAACATTCCTCGTTTTCGATTTCCCGTTAGTATCCTATCGTTTCCTTAATTTTACGCTCTTTTTGCTACGCGAGCACCTGGAACAGGTTAGTAATTACACTGACTAAACGGCCGACTGTACCTCTCATGTACAAAACATCCATTGTATCAAAAACAATATTGACGACTTTTTCTTCTTTTTACTGGTATGTAATGTGTTATGCACGCGTCTAATACCTGTCTTCACTTGTTAGCCACGTGGAACAGGTATATAAAATCTCACGCAAAATATTAAAGTGTTGCCCCTCAAGCTGTGATATTGTTAGCCATGAGTTTTTCTCTTTTTTTGGCTTTTTCAGATTCACTTAACCAAACCATTCGATTAGATTAAAAGTTAGCTATTTCAGCGACTTCTTTCATTGTTGTCTAATATTCACTAATAGGTCTTTTTTCGTAGATGTCGTGTCCGAACCAGAAAAGTGCATCGAGATGGTTGTCTCAGTTTTCAACTTCAAATAAATAATTGAGAACAAGAAAGTAACCAGAAAGCATGATTCGAGCTAAAACAAAGCGTAAATATTTGTTTAAAGTTTAGAGGCTACGACTGAAACCTGGTACGGATCCGAAAAAGATGTACAGAGTAAGGATTTGAAGAACTGAGCGGCGTCTCCCTAGGAAGAACTCTAAGGAGTACCCACCCCACCCTGGGCAAATAGTGATCCAAACCACTAATCCCGCAGTTTTATCACATCATCGATCCATACAAGAGGACGTTCTCCTTCAGGTGAAAAAAGACCCTGCTTACAAGTGAATTAACCTCTTTTTTGCAACTCTTTTTTTCCATATGTTTGGCGTGTTGAGTATTAAGCCTTAAACAAGTTCCTACTTGCCGCGAGTCTGAGCAAGTTCTTGTTGCTCCGGAATTGAAATTGACACATGTTATTCCAAATTTTCCTTCATGCATTAAGCTACTATATCTACCTGAGGTTTCCGTTTCCCGTATGTAGTGTTTGTTTACTCAGAACGGCGTTTCAGATAAGCTCTTGTCTTGGCTATGTGCCTGGTTTCTGAGCGATGCATCTGGCTAATTGGCCAGGAGCCATTGTTTCATCTGGCTTTAACAATAAAAATCACCCCTATTCACTGTCTCTGTTTTGTGACCCAAAGGCATATAATTTTGTGAGAACAAAAGACAGGCCTGGTAAAAGCCTTACCCAAAGCAAAATATACATCGTTTATGGCGTGCGTCTGCTATAGCTTACTGGTCAGTATGTTGTTGCGTAATTATTCCTGAAACGAAACGTTCCCCGATTTAATTTTTAACATTAATGGCGAATCTAGTAATATACACCTTGAATAAAATTGTTTACCATGAACTTAGCGGATAAGCGCGAAGGCATACAGCGAAGGCGGGCTCAAAAATTAAGAACTGCGCCCAATAATCTTGCGAGAGTTCGACCTGAAAGGAAACTGATCCAATATCCCGTGTACTGCTCCCCAGGCTATGAAAACGTTGGCTGTGCAAGCTGATCTGGTCCTCAAGTTCCACTCCCTCCGTCTATATCTAAAACTTTCAGAATGCTATACTTTAAAACATGTCATCAAACTATAACTTATTAGTTAGGCGTGGCGAATTCTCCCGATCTCTGACTCTGTTAAAAAAACTTGTAAGGTCAAGGGTCTCGCAAATTGTCGTCAGATAGGGCTTCTATGCGTTTTCAATTTTCGTATCGGTGTGTCTCGCGGAATCGTCGGATTTTTTTTCTTTTTCCTTTTTTAGTCTATAATTGTGAATGAATACTGTCTGCCTCGGAGTGTGGTAAATATTTTTTTCATTGAACCCCTATAGATTTGATAGCCAAATATAATGCTTCGTAGAAAGAGACCCAACAGTCCAACAGCCACAAGAAAACAAAATAAGTTGAGCTCAGATAAGAGTGACAAGGCTTGTCAACACTTCTGAAGACTTTCGCAGTCTAATCAGAGTCGCCCGTATAGGAAAAGTACTAGTCTCGCAATATTTCACCAAGAGCATCGGCATGGCATGGCCACCCCTTATGACAAACACCATTATTGAAAACCCCTGAAGCAAATTGATAATACATAAAAAAAAAGGATAATTCTCCTGACCAGTCCTGTTTTTTTAAGGGCACAATGGATTATTTTATTCAGATTTCTCTGAATCTGCGAGCAATTCAGTTACGTGAGCGAAAAGATGGGTTCCATGTCCCAGACATGGATTGATTTGTACGCACAAAACGAGAATGATTTGTTGCTTCATTTTTCCCGATCAGAAAAGTCACGGTCTAAAATACGTATACGATAATTCTTCGTAGATCCGAACAACTCTGATATATGTAAAGGGCTGGGAATTTTGGCATCTTTCACAGAGGTCCATAAATAGCAGCGCTGCAACGTAAATTGCTGGGATGAAACTCCGTGTTATTCCTTCGTTTCAACCTTCCGGAGTCTCAGGAGGTATCGAGCGATTGAAGATTTCACATTTTGAAGCTGATAAAACTGTTCTTAAAAAGCTAAACTGTTTGAAACTGATTATGAAAAGGGACCGAAAAAGCTCCGAAAAGCCTGGAGGTGGCATTGACAAATGTTACTGCGCTCACTGAAAATTTTGTCAATTTTGGGTGACAAACGTTTTGCAACGAGTCAGATTTCCGCACGTCAGCTTCTTGTCCCGTGATATCATTTAGCAGCGCCGTTACTTATCAAGCCACTGCCTTGCGTAACAGGCTCGTCTCAGATGAGATCCACAAACTGACCCCACATCATTACAAAAATATTTTTGTAACCGATTCCAAAAAAGATTGCCCTTTAAGAGAGAAACAAGATTTTTATATTGAGTTACATAGTATGAAATGTCGAATGACTTCCCTCTTCCTTAGTCCATTGTTGAGTGGGTACAATTTCCTGTTTCCTGAAAACAGTGGGTCTATTGATGTAAAGTGCAGTGAGGGTCATTTCAACTCTTTCCTCTCATAATTTTTTATTCTCCATCATTTTAGAGTCTGTCTACTGTCCACAAAGCGCTCCAAGGACAGGCACTTTAGAGGCATCCAAACAGCTTTCCTTTTTTTTATTCCACAGAGCAACGACAGTAACTTCGTTCCCAGGGGTCGAAAAAAAAATTACTGGAAAGACACGGCTTTGTCCACCGCCTCACTTGAAAAAAAGATTCTTAAAAGCCTCAAGTAAAACAAGGGTTACCACATCTTGCGTAATTTTTTTTCTCGCGTCTCGTGTTGTTATTGTTGTTGCTGTTGTTGTTTATTATTTTTCATTATTATTTTATTTTTTATGGGCAGTTCTGTCCCGTTGAAGTTTAGAATGGTGATTTTAAATGAATTAAGTTAATGAAATGGTAGTATGAGTATTAGCAAGTTAACACGGTCATATGTTATCAAAATACTATTACTTGTTTCGGAGCTGAGACCCGTTTAAATTAGTATCTAAAACGTATTCCATGAAGATAGTTGAAGTATCCTTTTTCCGTAGTTAAATCTTTGTAATCGTAACACTTGAGTTGTGAGAGCACAGCATCCTTTCGAGAACGGGTAGTTCTGTGTTTTTGGAGTGTACACTTTTTCCATCTTTATCCGATGCTCAAAATGGCGATGACCGCATAGGTAATATTACTGACTAAGCTATCACGCACGTGATTAAAGTACAAACTCGTTTTACCGGAAACTCGTTGACTCAGTTGTTTCATTAACACAAAACGCGCCAAATGATGACAGGTTCTTTTGTTTTCGGAGCACGTACAGCAATCGATTTCCAATCGATAGCTGCGAGTTATTGGGCCACGGGATCATGACGTCAAATCTTGCCCCACCAAGGAGAGCAGCTACCCTTACCTAACTAGAATTTCTGTAGTGCGTCATCGGGATTCATGTTTTGAAATTCGGTACGGTATTGGAAGGTCCAGAATACTTATCTAGACATGTTCAAATTAGTCCCGGAACATGCTACATCATCCGACATTTAGGGGAAAGGTTACTTAAGAGATTCAAACGTGCACTGGATGCGTAACTTGTGAGGCCTTTTCGCTCGTAAACATGTACACAATCTGGTTCGTGGGTCATCGATCTACAACGTGGTCATACTTGGTTGTCCTTTTAGTGTTTTGCTCCATTCTACAGCGAGCAACAGCTCAGTTGCATCTGTTTATCACAAACGAGGATGCCAACACACATCTAAGTGAGTATATGTCTTTCAAGAAAGGTAGCAAGTTTGTAAATAGTTCGCAAACCATGTGGATCGAGGGAGAAGAATCATTCGCGATGGCTTATTCTGTATTTCAGAGATGAACTTCCAGGGAAGATTGTACCTCATTCGCGATGGAGAACCAAACACTATGGTGCAGAATCCTGGTGCATTTTATCGTTTTATGTCACCGTTAGATTCATCGGTTTCAACGATTCAGCTAAGCTGGTTTTCATCTCCGCAGGTGAGTACGACGTGATAAGCGGGAGTGATATATATATACACGATTGTTGGGTGTTTTGATTCTCACTGAAGTCGAACAAAGTCCATCAGCCTGTCTCTGTGAATGATTTGTCGACTTCGGGTTAGTGTTTAGTCATAGTTATTATTTATTTTAGTTTGTGCCTCAAATTGAGGAGGAAAGAAAGATTTCCGTGCGTTTCTGATCATTTGAATGAAAGGGTTCTCTTAGCACTCTAGTAGCACAATACTCCACTTTGCGCAATGCTAATTTTGTAGTGTATTTTTTTGTCATCTTACTTAATTCATGTGACGTTCCGCGAACTATTTTCGTCTTAGAAATCAGATGATTATGTTCCAGAAAACATTTTCGTCATTGAATAGTCGTTCTGATGAAGAAAACTTTGCCAAAAACGCCAATATTATAAACACGAAGAATCGGGGTATTTTGTTTTGCATGGCCGGAATGCATTCTTTCTTCCCCTATTGTTCGCTTAGCAATGATTCTTAACGATCGAAAATCGGCAATTCTTTCTTCGGTTCGAGTGCTGAATGCTTCAGATCTTCCTGTTCTAAGCTTTGAAGGAATCAAATGAAAGGTATTAACGATATCGGCGATCTAAGGGTTTCGTGTTGACGGTTTTAGCGTGGACCATTAAGTATTTGTCGTTGTCGTCATGTATGCTGATGTCTGGAAAATTTCTGTCGAAAAGGCAATCTAGAATATGACTCTGGGGGATAATGCCGTTGATTTTTTTACGCCAATATTCTAAGCTTAGAGTTGGCAATGAACTTTAGGAATGCATGTGCTTGTGTTTATTGTTCTTTAAGAAGATTTAGCTGAGGCAAGTCTGTAAAATGTCCGTTTTCCAGTGGTTTTCTAATTATTTGCTCCCGTTAAATCATTCAAACGTGATCTTGCCACAATATCATTTCCTACTCCTTGAACTGCGAGCCTTCAGAATTGGATTTTAGTGTAGTTCCGTTGGGCTCGAGCGTTTCCTGTTGTGGCCTCTGAAAGGCACGTAAAAGCTTGTTTTTATCATGGATAATTCAAGATTGCGGAGGAAACAGCCGAACAATATCAACTTGATAAGCCAAAAGCTTGTTAAGACACGGTAGGGTACGATTTAAGATGTGATGAAGGCACCTTGCCAAGCAGAGGAAAACAAAACAATAACGAGTAGTCATTTAGTCTAACCACTTGGTTTGCAATAAAGTTGGCGTCCATTATAATCATTTCATCCATAATGGCATTTCCTATTATGCTACAAGTTGAATATTTGACTCTCAAGAAACAATTTAATGTTTATGGTGTCAGTTACACAACTTAAATATCCTTTTTTTTTTTTTTTTTTGCCAAAGCAAAATAACTTGAGAAATTGATCAATCATGAAACCACAGATTCAGTGGCTTCCATTTAAGATTCTGTGCGAGAGCTACAATCAACATAACTCTATTGGGAAATTTCAGTCTGAATTGTTTGATTTTCAAACATGTCTTAGTTTTGACAATCAAGCATAAAGAGGTAGTGTTGCAATAACTTAAAGGTCCTCTGATGATATTGTTTCAGGGCTTTGTCCAAAAAGCCTTGGCTGAAATTAATTATTTCAAAAGAAGAGATAACACTTGATTTTTTTAGGAGTTTATTCACTTTAACCCTTTAACTCCTAAGATCTGATTGTTAATTCTCCCCTCTATCTGCTACACATATCCTTGAATCAGTGATGAGAATTTAGTGTTAGATCAAAATAAAAACTTCTACCAGACACGTTGGAGTATTCTGAATACATGTTTGCAGGTTAATAAAGTTCTGCTCACATAGTGGGTTGGAATTGGTGAAAATAAGAGGTTTTGAACCATTTGTGACAATTTCATCCTCCTATGTTCACCTGATATTATGAAATAGCAGAGATACTCTTTAAGTCTGTTACTCACAAGCAGGAGGCAAGTGACTAACAAACTTTTCTCTTGTTCTCCTGATAACTAAACTGAGTACACAGAGCTATTTCATAGGTGGATCTTTCCTTAGAATTAACTTTTACACTCTCAGGGGTTACATAAGAGGAATTTCTCCACATATCTTTTGGGAAATTCTGTGTGATTCAGCAACAATTTCTCAGAAGCAAAATTATAAGATGTGTATGGTAAACCGTGCAGAGGATCGCTTGCTAGATCTTGGATATGTGGTGGTTACAGAATTGATGATGTCTTCTTTTACAGGTCTCACACTATAGCATGAGCTTCAAATCAAGTGATCAAAGTATCATGCCTGATCCTCATGCAGCCACTCCTTTGGAAGGAATTGTTCCACAATCTCAAAAAGGTGTGAATGACCTGTCTTTACAGGTTCACATTTTAGTGTTTTGTACAAACACTGAATTTTAAAGCAATCCATATGTTTGTTTGTTTGTTAGCAGAAGTAGTTAGTACAATGCATGCAGTGAGAGTGCATCTTAACATGTTTTGTTAGCATTTTAAGTTAACTTGATAAGTACTCTCCAAGAAATAGTTTGAAACATCTGAGGGGGGGGGAAGTATACTTGATAAGGAAAATGATTATCAATGGACTAAATGTCCTGTACAAGGTACAGTTTATATGTATATACACTACAAACAAGGAAGATCCTTGCTAAAACTGAATTTCAACTAAGTTTTTCAAAGTATCTTTCTGAAGATACTTCTTTCTATCTCGCAAGCAGGTGCATTGAAAGCGTTCTTGCTTCCAGAATGCGATTCTTGTCAAAGGGAAAGGCAAAAACTTTCTGAAGGGACCTGTTGCTTCTTAAAAATTCTTCACACAATGAAGTCATATTTTCTTAATTATTAATTGGCATCCTAGGGTGGAGTGGGTGAATGTTTTTTTTTTTTTTTTTTTTTAATTTTTTTTCAGAATTGTACTTTCCTGAATAAAATGTACTGATTTGTTGTGTTGTTTTGTCTCGCAGCCTTTCAGGTTTCCTTCTACTGTCCTGGTACTACTGAGGGAGAAGTTGATATGACATTTTCCTTGAACTACACCAGAATTGTTTCAGGCTCAGTAGATACGGAGGAGATCAAAAGTTTTATGCTCATAGTGAGAAGACGTTGTGAAAAAACAGGTAATTGACATTGAATAAGACACTATCATTTTGCTTTTCTACAGGGTTTTTTTTCTTTCTCAAATTCCTTGTTTGTTCAGATCAGTGTCCTATGAGACATTCAAACAGAGCTTAACTGAAAATTACTCAGTCATCATTATCATTGTTGTTTTTGCCTTCTTGCTATTCACTTTGATAAAACAATTCTTAGCTTGCCTGGGCAGAAGCTTCAAGATTTATTTTTGTAGTTCAATTATCATTTTTGACACTTTACCCTTCACCCCTATAAGTGGCCAAGACATCATTTCTCTTTCCAATATAAATATGATACCAAGCAGACAAATGATGAGATTACAGAAAAATGTCAACTTGGATTATTAGTTTATCCAACACCAAATGTTTACATGAAATTCTCTACAGATGGAAATGACAATTTCATCGAACAAGTTACATCCTCACCATGGTCACGCAGTAAAGTTGTGGGAATCTGTGCAGGCTTGACGACTGTTATTATATCTGTTGTTGGGCTGGTGTTACTGTTTCGTTATTGTATGAGACAGAGGAAGTTGAAGATAGAGTTTGAAGATGATGTGGAAATGTATCGCAGCAGCAGCAGGTTTGTTACTTAGCAGTCTGTCCTTTCAATGGTTGTGCATCTTTGAAAGCTGCAGACTGTGAATTCGTTGGCTATTGTAAAATAGGGTTGGCAATTTTTCCTCTTTGTTTTTTTTCAGTAGTAGTATAGTCAAACCTTGATTATCCAGACCTCAATTATCTGAATTTCTTGATCATTCAAACTTTTTCCCTGGTCCCAATTTTGTCATGAATTTTTATAAGTCATGATCAAGATCTGTAGCCCTCTTCTTTTTAAAACTACAGTGTTGAAAAGTAAAGTGAAGGCAAGTTTTGCTTTCAAAAAGCAAAAGCAGAGCTCACACGCGTCATAACTAATGAAGAACATTTGATTGAGGTCTGATTGGCTTAGAGTTGCTTTGTTGCTACATGAGATTTCACACTCTATAGGCTCTTTCAGCATGGTATGCAAGATAAACAAGTTATTACACAGCATCACGAATGGTTATTCACAATCATCGTGTCCTTGAACCATGAGCGATCTTTTCTTTCGATTAAATGTCGCTTTCTTAATTTAATCAGTTTTTGTTCCTAACTGATATTCATATTTTCAACTATCTGGACCCTCGATTATCCAGACTATTTCATCTTGTCCCAACAAGTCCTGTTAATCAAGGTTTCAGTTTTCAACTTCTACCTCCTGAGCTCATTCACAGACAAGTGATAAGATAGTTTTCTTATGAATAGAACATGTTATGTATTGTGTTTGTAAGTCAACAATAGGTTTTAGAATTGTGCTCTGAGGTCATCTAAGGTGGTGGGAGATTTTCTACTAAAGATGTTGAGTGAAATTGATTTTTTAACTTAAATGTAAGAATCAGTGTAAAAATTTCTATGACACAACATTTTTTCAGTGAAACTTCAGGTCTTTGTATCGCGTACCTTTATTCTTTTATGTTTACTGAATATATTTCCTTTGATACCTGACAAAATTCTCTTTTGTAAAAAACCAGTTCATCCAAGATTTACAAAAAAGAAGAGCAACAAGAAGAAGAAGTTGATGAAACAGTGGATTCTTCAAAGCCAGGACTGTTTTACAGCCCACCAAGGCCTAATTATCAACCTCCAGGAGGAGGAGGAGGAGGGCGTGGCCGTGCTAACACAAGTGGCAGTGACTCCTCAACAACTGATCTGATTATTCCCGAGGAAAGTAGTGATATGTGTATTCAAAAGCAATCAGAGGGAAAGTACAGCAGTAGAGATGGCAGACACGGAGTGAGACATAAACATCGACGACATGAACGACAGTGGAAACACGGAAGCTTGTCTAGTATGTTTGTTTGTTTGTTTTTTTTCACATGGGTGTGTTTGGTTCTGTTCGGAAACTGTACCTTCTGGTAAATTATGTCAGTTGATTCATAATTATGCAAAGGGTTTCATTTCATTCTCTCTTTATTTGGTGCAGATACAAAATACACTTGGATACAAGAGAGACCTTTGTCATCTTATCATGAAACAGAATCTTTGTTGGAGAGAAGAAATAGTAAGGGAGTTTTTTATTGATTTTTGTTTTGGTAAATCAAGTCAGTTGTTACATATGTATTGGTTTTTAGTTGTCAATAACATATTGACTGCACTAGTGTGTCCTTATTACAAGTAGATGTATTAGTTTTTTCTAACTAATAAAGATTTTTTTCACAGCTCCTGATGAAGCTCAGAATACCGGAGGACTTTTTACAGTATTAAATGAATTTTGGGCAACAGAACTTGCAGATGTTTTAATACCAAGAGACCAAGTGTCAGTTGGAGATCCTTTGTATAGAGGTTAGTTAGATGCAAAGAACTTTGGATGTTATTTCATTTCCTGGCACATAAACTTGCTTTTCCTCTTTTAAATTTTGATTACTGAGCAACGTGGCTGACAGTTAGCCCCTTGGGTTTAAGTGTAGTTATTAACAGTAAGCTTTTAAGATCAGATTGGCTTATAAATATACAATCACATTCCAATTACTGTAAAGAAAGAGGTAGATTGTTTCAAGCTACAATTGTCATGTGCCAATTTATTCCAAGTGTTCCAATGGTTAAAAATAACTGTCTGTGACAGGGAAAGTTGATTCATTGGTTCACCATTGGAAATTTATTTTGCAGGAACATTTGGATGTTTGTACAAAGGTTCTGTGCGAGGACTAAGTGAAGAGCAACCACGCAAGAAAATGGAAGTGTTCATCAAAGCACTTCAAGGTAAGACCAAACCTGAAAGTCTTCTGGAGTTTGTGTCTATTACAGTGATCTGGTGGCATCTGGAGTAGGATAGTGGAGTAGGACAGTGATCTGGTGGAGTAGGACAGTGATTTGGTGGAGTAGGACAGTGATCTGGTGGAGTAGGACAGTGATCTGGTGGCATCTGGAGGAGGATAGTGCAGAAGCAAAAATTACCTTAGTTTGGCTTTTCAAAGACAAAGTGCAAATACTTCATTTAGTAAATTTGAGGAGTTTTTCCATTTTACTTGTGGATTTGTTAAGTGCAGAAACAAGTAATGTGGGAGTTTGATAGGCAAAAATTGTGACATTATCATGGTCTTAGTTTAGGGATAGCAGGCATTATTTTAAAGGAGTTATTTTTGTGCACTTGTTTGAGGTTTTGGTTGGCCATTGAGGTGTTTGAATAACTTTTTGTGAGGTTTGTAGTTCCCTACTGCATTCTTTTCTTCAACTAATTCAATTATTTTAATGAAATATTTTAAGTACAGTACAGAGTCCTGTAGAGTTGTGTTTTGACTCAGTTTTATCCTTCACAGATGAAGCAGACATGGACACCATCACTTCTTTTATGCAGGAAGCAATGGTCATAAAAGGCTTCAAGCATCCAAATGTTGTGGAACTGGTGGGTGTGGTGCTTCAACGTTCAACGCCACCTTACATTGTAACTCCTCTAACACGAAATGGAGACCTAGGACACTTTTTGAAGATTTCAAGAGCAACATCTGCAAGAGTACAGGTGAGAACACAAGAACAGCATCAATAGGGAGTGTGGAGACAGTCTACTGTAAGAAATGGTTGGGATTGTTGGCCAGAAATTGGTGTACCTCTGATCATTAGACCAATGAAGATTACAAAGATAAAGAAAGGTAGAATGTGTTAGATCTTTAAATAAAAACTTTGAATTGATTTTTTTTCTCAGACAATTACCTCGCGCCAGCTTATTGAGTTTGGAATTGAGATCTGCAAAGGAATGGATTATATCACTCAGAAAAAGATTGTTCACAGAAATCTTGCAGCAAAGAACTGCATGTAAGTATTTCTTATCTAAGTTTGCCTTGTGTTTCATATAGTTGCCTTTGATTTCTAGTTTCTTCTTTTTTGCGAAGAACTTAGATGATTCAGGTTTGTAAGATCATGAAAATAAAGATTTTTCAAACATTTGCCTCCAATCTTATAGGCAATCTAATTTTAATAGTTTTCACTTTGCAATTGATAGTCACATGCCCTAGTTTACTGCTGGCATAAAGAGGCTGTTGCTCTGACTGAGTATTTGGGTTAATATATTTCCCTGAATTTTGAGATGGTGATTTATAAAATAATTAAGAAGGGATTGGGTTTTCCATCTCAGGAAATCAGACTTATCTGAAAGTGTTTTCCTTTAGTGTCAATGATGATTTGAGTATCAAGATCACTGACTTCAGTTTGGCCAGAGATGTGAACACAACAAACTTGAATGACAAGGGAATACGGTCCAGATTACTTGTCAAATGGACAGCACTTGAGGGTTTAGCAGAGGAGGGTCAATTTTCAGAAAAAAGTGATGTGGTATGTTTCATTTCTTTTTCACCCTTTGAAGATAAATTTGGTTTTGCCTGGCTTGTCAAAATTAGGACTCTTAATTTATATTGCAAGCACTCAGCTGGTAGTTCATCATTAGCTTTAAACATTGCACAAAGATTAAACCCTTGAGGAAGAGATGAATTTGAAAATTGTACTTGCAAGTTAAGAACAAGTCAGTGTGCTTATTCTGCACAGTGTTCTCTATACATTTCCGATAGAACTGCATAAGAGAATTTCTTTAACAATAAAGAACTACATAAGTTAGTGATTATTTCTTTTATTCTCATGACCCTGATGTTTGATTTAGTGGTGATACACTGAGGAGAATTTGGATGCTTACCACTCTTAGAGATCAAATTCTTAGGAGTGGCTTACAGAGGAATATATCACCATCAGTAAAGAGAATTTGCTTGTAGATCATGGAAAGGAATCAGGGATACTTGAGCAATTGTTATCACAATGACATTGACTTTGCACAACAGCAACAGATTTTACAGGTTGTGGCCTTGGTGTCAGCCTGTTTATTGATATGCGTCATTGTTGTATAAATGACTCATATGTGGCATTTATTCCTTCACAGTGGTCATTTGGAGTTGTTTTATGGGAGATTGTAACTCTTGCTAAGGCACCGTATCAAGCTATCGACAGTTCAAAAATGGAGCAGCATCTGCAAGCTGGACATAGATTACCACAACCTAATAACTGTCCGTATGACTTGTAAGTTTTGTCTTGTATTTCTGTAGCAAAAAAATGAGCTGTAAGCTTAAAATTTCAATTTTTCTCTTTTTTTTCCTTTTTTTTTTCTTTTAAGGGAGTGATTCCCTTAAATAATTCATCTTTTGTTAATAATAAAATAAAGAATGGGTTGGTTCCAATAGTCCACATTGATATCCTTCTTTGAAACAGGTCTGAGCATTCAGAGGTTAATCGTTTATCTCCTAGAAGTGTTTAACCCATAACTTCTCCCCATAAAATCCATAAATTATCCAACAATCAGGTACTGAGAATACTCAAACTTATCAGGTCAAGGTTATCTTGATCAAACACCAAATTCTCATAACTAGGTTACAACAAAATGTGTAACAGCTGGAGGGGGGAAATTAACAATGAGATCTTGGTAGTTAAAGGGTTATGGCATTGTTTTGACCTTCACTGTGTCTTTTTGCAGATATTTCTTAATGAAAAACTGCTGGGAATCCAGTCCAAAAGCAAGACCAACATTTAGTCTGTTATTAAAGCAATTGGAACACTACTCCACAAGGCTGGTGCAAAATGGACTCAAGTTTGAATATCTACCAGAGTCTGACTGTTGATGAAGGAAATTTGTTGCTTTTCTGGGCTTATTATTACCACTTAAATATATAATTTTTTGTACTTGTGGCTGTATCATAGGAAAAAAATAATTTTTGTACATTGTATAGGTTTATCAAATTATAGCCATTTAAAATTCAAGTAGCCTTATTTCAGGTATGTTTGAAGTGTGGCAGTTAAAAGATTCTTTGGTTGTTACATTAAAGGTGGCTGTTTGGGTGGGTCAGTTTTTTAAAAATATTAAGCCACTATATAATGAAATTGAAGGCGAAGTTTTGCTTTTGAAAACACAGACATATGGGAAGACTTCCATTTTACAAAATTGTAGGTTATGGGTCAGTATTTTTGTAGGATTTTTTCAGTGTTGCTTATAGCACTTTTCTTTTCCAATGTTGTGTTTCACGTGTCAATTGTTAAGTCATATGGTAAAATGAAAACTTATATTTCATTGGGAAGTTTTTGTTTCTGAAGGAAGCCCCTGTGCACAGGAGCGTAATCTTCTGGAGATAGATCACAATTTTTGATTGTAAAGCTGTTCTTCAAATTAACATGCTGTATTTTTCATAGTGATTTACCATTGTTTTGCTGCTATAAAATTCTATGCCTTTTTTTTTCTCTTGTGCTGTCTGGTAACATTGTTAAGTTTCCCTAGTTACATTTTACTGTTGCAGTATAGCTGTGATTGGTGGCATTCGTTGTTTGGTTTCAAAGTTCACATGGAAGTCATTTTGTAAATACAGTATCCATTGTTCCATTTCCAATTTTTCAGGGACATGTTTTATATTCTAGTTATGCTTTGTTCATCTTGTTTGTTGAAAATCAACATTTGAGTAGGTATCATAAAGTTTTACCCCTTATATTGCTTCATCAGGCCATTCATTAGAAAACTCTGTTTTTTGTTTGGTAAATCATATTTGGGTTAATAGTATCAAAACAAGTTTTAACTTTGTCCACAGCATGTCATCAAACTTATTGCCTTCAGACCCTAAAGAGCTTATATTATTAATTAGCTAACCTACAAAATTAAATCACTATAAATTGTTATTTACTTAGTAAAAAAGGGAGTATTTTTCTACTAAGTTTCCAAAAAACTCCAATATTAACATTTTTTAAAACATCATATTTGCTCACCAATCTTAACTTTGGTGGGTGTTGAATGTTTTTCAAAAAGAGTAGCGCAAGTCCCCCTACCAGATTTGGACAATTTAAGGGCAACATAAAATTTTTTGCAAATAAGCTCAGTGTTTATGGTTTTGGAAAATGTAAATTATGTTTTCCAAGCCATTTTCTGAGACATATTGTTAGAAAATTCTGTTACAGGCTATTTTGTACATTTAACACAGTAAAATTTTCAAAACAGTTTGTTTTGCAACATTGTTTATGGAGATGCAGGGATTGGATCATATTTGCGAATTAGCAGTAGAAAGCTACTGCAAATGTTAATCTGTGTATGGAGCTTACTAGAATTGTAGTTTTCAAATTTGTTCTGTTGGTTCACGTTCAGATTTGTACAGTGTAATTAGTTTTTTTTTTGACGGGATGTTAGTAATAGAACGTCTCAAAAGTATAACAGAACGAGCGCATTTTTCTTTAGCGTATTGCATAATGTATGGCTTCTCTTTATAACTTAATCTCATAACACGGTTGTTAATAGTGGTTGGTTAATTTTAATGCAGTAAAGTGTTGTGGAAAAACGTTGTTTCGGAGCCAAAGTTGAGCCGCTTGCTTAAAACATACCTTAGAATGAAGATATGTAGATACAGTATTAATAAAATGTTTTGTAAAGAAATAAACACATATCACGTTAAAAGTAATAGCCAAAAATATATATGATGTAAATAGTGATTTTAAGGTAACTGTGTCTTTGAATGGTGGATCCTTCTGGCAATAAACATGTAATTTAGCATTTCTTGTTGGGCATGAATTGTTATACGTTCTGTCAGAAATGATTTAGCTTTGGTGATGAGACTCTGAAGGTCACTTCAATTTTACATCTCATATTAGAGTTATGTTGCAATATTGAAGCATTTCATGCAACAGTTACTCTGATATGCGGTCTTTTCACGCAATGCGGGAGAGAGCGCGTTGCGTGACGAGATAAACGACAGCTGCGAAGGAGAGGTTGTGTTTCGTAACCCTGTACACCCCAACATCATCATGCAGATTCTCCATACACGTCTCAAGACGCTGACATAAAGAATTTGTTTCGTAACCATCGAGCGCCTCGTCAGTTGGTGATCATTCCCGTTTTTCTTGTAACCTCTATATTTCATTTTATAGATGATACTATAAAGAGAAATTAGATGCCTGTCACTCCTCGTGGGTTAAAGTGTTAAGCTGCATGAAAATGTCTTTATCCAAGTTCAGTCCAGGTTTGCTGCATCAATAAAGGTTTTGGGTATCTTTTGACAGCAAGTCACACTAACGGTTAGGATACTTCACAGCTCGGACATTTTTAGTGAAGGATCCACTGTTTTAAAATCATTTTGTTATTTTTGAGTGGTACTGAGTCACGATTGCATGACGTGTGACGCAGGGTACGAGCTTTTTTCACTCTTCTTACGGTGGAGAGGAGGTGGCACAGATTCAGACAAATAATAAATGTTGCAATTACCAAATTATATTTTGAATCTTTTTTGCGTGAAACTTATTTATAGAATCATTTTTAAAAAAAACCTTGCGCTGCGGAAACACTCGTCATTTAACGCCTCCCGTCCCCCCCGGCATGAATATTGACCGGTCCCTTGGCCTGAAACCATATAAATTATATCATTTCACATCACTCAGCTTTCAGTTCTCTTTTGAGAGAACTTCATTTCATGTTCTATGTCTTTAAGCCTAACTTTAAAGCTTCTTGCCTTCACCTGCCATGAAATAGAACAAGTGAGCAGCAGTTTAGATTAATTCCTCATGAAGATTCACGTTGGTCGGTGATCCGGCGACTAGCATACTCTGGTAGCCACAGGATTCGCCAAATCTTTCCCGCTCGCAAAGACAGCCATAATTTGAAGTTGTATTTTACTAGTTCCGATCAAGCAAGTCCAACATATAAAATCTAACAATCAGAGAGGGACTGCCGGCCATGAGAATCGAAGTGTTTATTTAGTTGAAGGGAAAAAAACAACTGCCCTTCATTCAGTATGTCATAATAATTAAGAATAACTAACATCATCTTTATAATTGTAGTAAAGTAAATGGTCTGAGCAACAAATTTTTTTAAACAAATAGTTACAATACCTGAAATCTAACGAAGTCCGGTAGAAATTTTTGTACGAAAATGTTCCTGGTAACCGTGCTCGGATTAGCCTTCTTAACTCCTAATCTACGATTTTCTTCCACAAAATTATGGGATATGTCGTCTTCCCTTTAAATTCAAAGAGGTATTTTTAACTTGAGGGTCATCATCGAAAATCAATCTAGAATCCTAAACTAGACAGTTGTAGACTGCTCGTGTGACCAGCTATAAAAATCTTTATCGTCAGTAAAGATGAGAAAATGCTAATTTCCCGAGGAATTAATTTAATGAAGTCAAAAAAAATTAGCGTTACCCCGAAGTCGATATATACATTGGGCATGGAGATCACTTCATAAAAATAATTGAGACAGTTCCACGCAAAAAAAACCAAACAAATGAAACCGAAAAAAATTTTTGAAAACCTTTGAAATTCTTACCGTATTAGAGAAAACGTTTTATCATCATGCTTGAGATTTCATATGATTTCCTGAAAAAATCAGAACAATTATGTACGAGTATACTTTTTAACCTTGAAAAAAAGTCTGCGCATTTGACAAGATAGAGAGCCTCTTTTAAAAACAATTACTCCATATTTGCTAGGGCTACACGACGTATCACTTTCGAAAGAATATTACTTAAAATTTGCTTTGCTTGATATATTAATCGCTTTCGAAAAACATTAGTTACAATATGCTTGGCTTGATTATTTAACTATTCCGTTTGAGAGTTCAGTAACTGCTAACTGTTCATCATCTCTACTTTATGAATTGTTCTGTCCCTGCTGCGCTCTTTACAGGAATGTTTAACTTTGACAATAGCTGAGTACTTGAAATTTAGCTCGCACGCGTCTCTCGCAGATGGCTTCCTCTTTCTATACGGTGGCAGTTCACAGTTTCTAGCTTTGCTCAGTCCAGCACATTCCATTACAGCGGGTTTACTTGATTCATGGCCATTTGGTTGTAGCAGACACAGGCCAATTTGCAAAATCAAACGTCACGTTGTCGCCAATCAGCATAAAAGACGCCCACTTAGAGATTTCTACAAAGCCATTGTTTCTCATCCATTTCCTGGCCTCGTGAAGAGATTCACTGGCGCTTTCACCGCGGAACAAGTGCTCGTAGAAACAAGTCATGAACTTCTCTGTGGCTGTGTCATCTAAGGCCCACCGTGCCGCCAAGACTGAGCGAGCACCGGATCCTAAGAACGCTCGAACGATTCCAATAATGCCCTCGGCTTTAATCTGTCCACGTGCACTGTGACAACAGCTAAGCACAACCAGTTTAGCTTGCAGCTTAATTCGTGAAATATCCTCCATCGTCAAGAGGAAGGCTTCTTCTCGTGGAACATAGTCAGCGGGACACTCAGGGGAAAGGACAATCTCTCCTCTTTCAGCATCACCATGGGCAGCTAAATGGATCAGACTCACTGAATGTATTGCTTGAAGTACAGCCTGCTTTGTCGCGCGATCTCCAATCAAAGGTGTCACACCAAGAAGTCTTCCAATCATCTCTGCTTCCTTTCTTGCACATGGCAATCGTGTTATATTCATGCGTCTTCCCTTGTAAATCACCTCTCCAACCCGTGGGTCACCCACTATCAGTGCACCTGTTTGACTGTGATAGTATGGAGGACTGTCCTGAATATGCTTGAGAGTCGTCAAAGAGGGAACGATGCGTAACCTAAATGTGTCTGATACAAAGTTTCCTCCATCGTCAGTTAAGGCCGCAAATGGTACCTGGTACATACAGGAATCAGGGACAATGATAATTTCGGGCTCCTTCAGTAAAGCGGCCACAGGAGCGATGATTATCTTGTAGCACAAGTGAAGATTTGTCTTGATACCTTTGTCATCACAATCGCGCAAGAGCGGCTGATTTTCATGGTAAAGTGACACCGATTCGGCGTCATCTAGAGATCGATCTTCGCAATCCTGTTCGGGTAAAATGCCAAGGCCACGGAAGCTTTTCGTAAAAAACTTATCCAAGTCAGGGACTAATCCGGTCACCACGTTTTTTTCCAGGCTCACTTCCTCATCTGAAAAGAGAATAGCCCCTGTTGCTTTGAGAATCCAGTAGCGCATATGCTTTTCTCCAACAGAAATGTAGAGGCATGCACAGTCAGTTTCCTTTGCGACAATATTTTGAATCCCATACCATGATTTTGGATCGCCTGAGATCTGCTCTACAACAGAGTACCTAGCTGCCATCAAGTCGGCTAAGCCCCTCGCCCGTCTCAGCTCCTCAACATAGAGAGCGTCTTGTGGCTTTGCCGTGGAAGAAAGCAAACAACTGAGTAACTCGTAGGGAAAGGTGCCGTGCTTCTCCAAAAGTGATGTTTTAAACTCATCGTTGTCTTTAAGAGATCCTCGCAAAGTGTCAAATATTTCAATGGTTTGGAAAAGAGACGAAAGGGCTTCTTCAAGATCAAATTGTGATACCTTCAACACCGTTAGATCAAGAAGGCATTGAAACTCATGCAAGAAGTATCCAATATCCCTGCTTAGTAAGAGAGCCTTCTTGAAGTATTCCTCGGCTATGTCATATTTACCGAGCGATTGAAAACACAATCCTAAATTTGCGCAACTGACAATAACATCTTCTTCCGTACCAATATCCATGTGAATTTCAAGGGCTTTCTTGAAATATCCTAGAGCATTGTCGTACTCACCACGCTTATGAGAAATTATCCCAAGGCAACTGAAATGTCGTGCTTGTCCTTCTCTGTCACCGATTTCCCTCCAAATTGCGTTCGCTCTCTCCAAAAAATCGTCAGCCTTTAAATATTTACCGAGGGACAGAAACAAATGTACAAGGTTTACTAAAGTGTCTGCCTCTCCTTTTCTGTCGCCAATTCTCCTGTAAATACGTAGAGCTTTCTCCAGGTATTCTCGGACCTTGTCATATTTGCCAAGCGACATGAATATTTGTCCAAGGTTTGTGTAGCTTGTTGCCTCTCCATTTCTGTGGCCAATTTCTATTTGGATAACGAGAGCTTTCTCCAGGTATTCTCGGGCCTTGTCGTATTTGCCAAGCGATATGAACAGTGGTCCAAGGTTTGTGTAGCTTGCTGCCTCTCCATTTCTGTCGCCAATTTCTATTTGGATAGAGAGAGCTTTCTCCAGGTATTCTCGGGCCTTGTCATATTTGCCAAGCGACTGGAACACTGTTCCGAGGCTGCCATAGATTGTTGCCTCTCCATTTCGGTCGCCAATTTCTATTTGGATAACGAGAGCTTTCTCCAGGTATTCTCGGGCCTTGTCATATTTGCCAAGCCACTGGAACACTGTTCCGAGGCTGCCATAGATTGTTGCCTCTCCATTTCTGTCGCCAATTTCTCTTTGGATAGCGAGAGCTTTCTCCAGGTATTCTCGGGCCTTGTCGTATTTGCCAAGCGATATGAACAGTGGTCCAAAGTTTGTGTAGCTTGCTGCCTCTCCATTTCTGTCGCCAATTTCTATTTGGATAGAGAGAGCTTTCTCCAAGTATTCTCGGGCCTTGTCATATTTGCCAAGCGACTGGAATACTGTTCCGAGGCTGCCATAGATTGTTGCCTCTCCATGTCTGTCGCCAATTTCTACTTTCATAGCGAGAGCTTTCTCCAAGTATTCTCGGGCCTTGTCGTATTTACAAAGCGATACTAACAGAGGTCCGAGGTTCGCGTAGCTTGTTGCCTCTGCATTTCTGTCGCCAATTTCTTTTTGAATAGCGAGAGCTTTCTCCAGGTATTCTCGGGCCTTATCGTATTTGCCAAGCGACTGGAACACTTTTCCGAGGCTATGGTAGCTTATTGCCTCTCCATTTCTGCGGCCAATTTCTATTTGGATAGCGAGAGCTTTCTCCAGGTATGCTCGGGCCTTGTCGTATTTGTCAAGCGACTGGAACACTTCTCCGAGGCTATGGTAGCTTATTGCCTCTCCATTTCTGTCACCAATTTCTATTTGGATAGCGAGAGCTTTCTCCAGGTATTCTCGGGCCTTGTCGTATATGTCAAGCGACTGGAACACTTCTCCGAGGCTATGGTAGCTTATTGCCTCTCCATTTCTGTCGCCAATTTCTATTTGGATTGCGAGAGCTTTCTCCAGGTATTCTCGGGCCTTGTCGTATATGTCAAGCGACTGGAACACTTCTCCGAGGCTATGGTAGCTTATTGCCTCTCCATTTCTGTCGCCAATTTCTATTTGGATAGCGAGAGCTTTCTCCAGGTATTGTCGCGCCTTGTCGTATTTGTTAAGCGATCTGAACAGTGCTCCGAGGATTCCGTAGCTTGTTGCCTCTCCATATCTGTCGCCAATTTCTAGTTGAATAGCGAGAGCTTTCTCCAGGTATTCTCGGGCCTTGTCGTATTTGTCAAGCGATATGAACAGTGTTCCGAGGATTCCGTAGCTTTTTGCCTCTCCATTTCTGTCGCCAATTTTTACTTGGATAGCGAGAGCTTTCACCAGATATTCTCGGGCCTTGTCGTATTTGTCAAGCGACTGGAACACTTTTCCGAGGCTATGGTAGCTTATTGCCTCTCCATGTCTGTCGCCAATTTCTATTTGGATAGCGAGAGCTTTCTCCAGGTATTCCCGGGCCTTGTCGTATTTGTCAAGCGACTGGAACACTTCTCCGAGGCTATGGTAGCTTATTGCCTCTCCACTTCTGTCGCCAATTTCTATTTGAATAGCGAGAGCTTTCTCCAGGTATTCCCGGGCCTTGTCGTATTTGTCAAGCGACTGGAACACTTTTCCGAGGCTATGGCAGCTTATTGTCTCTCCATTTCTGTCGCCAATTTCTATTTGGATAGCGAGAGCTTTCTCCAGATATTCCCGGGCCTTGTCGTATTTGTCAAGCGACTGGAACACTTTTCCGAGGCTATGGTAGCTTATTGCCTCTCCATTTCTGTGGCCAATTTCTATTTGGATAGCGAGAGCTTTCTCCAGGTACTCTCGGGCCTTGTCGTATTTGTCAAGCGACTGGAACACTTTTCCGAGGCTATGGTAGCTTATTGCCTCTCCATTTCTGTCGCCAATTTCTATTTGTATGGCGAGAGCTTTCTCCAGGTATTGTCGCGCCCCGTCGTATTTGTTAAGCGATCTGAACAGTGTTCCGAGGATTCCGTAGCTTGTTGCCTCTCCATGTCTGTCGCCAATTTCTATTTGGATAGCGAGAGCTTTCTCCAGGTATTCTCGGGCCTTGTCGTATTTGCCAAGCGATATGAACAGTGTTCCGAGGCTATGGTAGCTTATTGCCTCTTCATGTCTGTCGCCAATTTCTATTTGGATAGCGAGAGCTTTCTCCAGGTATTCTCGGGCCTTGTCGTATTTGTCAAGCGACTGGAACACTTCTCCGAGGCTATGGTAGCTTATTGCCTCTCCATGTCTGTCGCCAATTTCTATTTGGATAGCGAGAGCTTTCTCCAGGTATTGTCGCGCCCCGTCGTATTTGTTAAGCGATATGAACAGTGTTCCGAGGATTCCGTAGCTTGTTGCCTCTCCATGTCTGTCGCCAATTTCTATTTGAATAGCGAGAGCTTTCTCCAGGTATTCACGGGCCTTGTCGTATTTTCCAAGCGACTGGAACACTTGTCCGAGGTTCGTGTAGCTTGTTGCCTCTCCATGTCTGTCGCCAATTTCTATATAGATAGCGAGTGCTAAGTCAAAATATTCTTTCCCTTTGTCATATTGTCCTGAGGACCACAGAAGCACTCCTAGTCTTCTATAACGTTCTGCTTCTCTTTGTCCTTTTCCGGCCATTTTCATCAAGTTTATTACTAATTCATAAAATTTCTTTCCTTCTTTAGGCTGAAGTGAAAGTTTCCTGAAATATTCTTCAATACCTGATGAATTCCATAGAGTGAGCCACGCCCTTTTTATTGTGGTGCGGATGCGTTCGTCAAATGATTTAGCAACTGGACTGTCCGCGCTTAAATCACCGTTGTTTAATAAAATCAAACTTTCTTGGCACAACTCAATGGCTTTAATAGCCCAACCAGTGTTGAGAAGGAAAACAGCGACAGTTACACCTATTTTGATAGCTAACGTGGTAAATTCCTCTTCTGTGTTTTTCATATCGCCTTGATCACTGTAAGTTTGGAAAAAAATGTAGGTCAGGCATATGAAACTCGAAAGTTCCTGTACAAGGGTTCATGGGTGCGAACTTTTTCAGGAATCTTGGTTTTCTCATCCCGACGGAGGTCCTACCCTGTATTGAAATGAAGCGTTTACGAGACTGAAACCGGCATGAGTGTGATTGCTCTTCCTGCTTCATCTCACAAAAATCTGATTTTTATTTAATGATTGCGCCATTCACGTTAGAACGTTTTGCTATAATGAAGTAGGGGTAACTAAATTTAAATGGTTGAAACCAAGTTTTTTTCTGTTACTCCATATATAGCCTATAACATTTGGTACATAGGATTCCTTATCCTAACCTGTTTAGTTTCCACTTCGGTGTTTGTCAAATTTTATCAAATCACTCAATGTGTAGTTACAGATCTAATTGGATTCTTCTTCGACTCTTTTCATTTCTTTTCGTCAGGAATCTTCGTGATCTTAGGCAATAAGATCTTGTTACCGTTTGTTCCACTGAGGTGTTCATAACAATGTCACGCACATCATTGAGATGCTCATTACGATGTTACACAAATATTTAAACTTATTGTTTGAAGCTAGATAAGTTCCGCGTTCATTTTGATACGAGTGAGGTTATCTAAATGAAATTTTCCCCGGAAAAATGAAAAAACTTTTGTCACATACTCTTGTTCACAGTTTTCATTTTTCTTCAAATCACCACAAATTGGAACTACAAGCGGTAGATACTGGGGGAGGGGAAGGGGGGGGGGAGTCCAAGGGGCCAATCAGTTGCATTTCCTGCCCCACATTTTATGATTGTAAAACATTCAGTCAGTCATAACTTATAAATACCCTACCGTTTAAAGACAGAAACTTCAATTGTGCTGTGATCGATCTTGTGATGAACATCCAACCGTTAAAACGCAATGAACACCAGGGAGCTGACGTTTCCTGTAAAACAAAGTAAATTGTTTCATTTTGCATGCTCATATCCATCAATGTTAGACTGATAAAGACGAAATACAAATACCTAAACCGGAGCACTTGAAGTTCGGAGTAAACTGATGAACTTTTCTTTTCCTTCCACCAAGATGAACACTTTCAAGGGTAACATTTGGTAAAATAATCGTCTTGTAGAAATTCAAACTATTAACATCATCTGTTTTGCTTATATAGCAATTTACATAGTGTCTTTGTTATTGATGATGCAAATCACACCCATTAGAAAATGAAAAGTTCATCAGTGAAGAGTCGATCATCACACCCAAACACTGAAAAATACCCTATTTAATTGAACTGTGATCGATCTCGTGATGAAAATCCAACTGTTTAAAAGCAATGAACACGTAAGGGCTGACGATCCCTGTACTGAACAAGTACAATTTTTTTTCCTTTTTGCATGCTCAAATGCATCATTGTTTATAAAATTCAAAATCGAAACACAAGTAATTTAAGAGGAACAATTAATATTCGGGGTAAATTGCTCAGCGTCTTTCTGTATTTTCCACTTATGAATTAGGAAAAAAGTAGATGAATTAATTCATGATTCGACTTCCATTTTTCTGACATGAAAATCCTGCTCGAAGTTGGCCCAAGTTTTTAGGTGTTCTAGACATCAAATTATCATCAACATCGCTTTCATGGCGCGTTGTAGTGTTCTCAAATTTCTAGTTTCATAGCCAAAGCGAAGCGGAAATAAAAATGCGAGAGTAGCAGGGATGACTGATGAGACTTTTCAGGAGATTAGCTTCAAGGATCCCGCTTCATAAGTCGGTATGGTCCAGGTTCATAGATCAGTACATTGAATATAGCATGATAGAACACTGACACTCTAAACAAAAATGATTTGTGTAAGCTATGTAAAGGCACTAACAGTGGGAAATAAGTTGAACTGTATCATTTTTTTGAATACCCATTGAGTGCTCTCAAATTGCTGGTTTCATAGTCAAAGCGAAGCAGAAATAAAATTGTGAGAGTAGCAGGGGTGACTGATGCGACTTTTAGGAGATTAGGTTCAAGGATCCTGCTACATAAGTTGGTCCAGGTTCACTTCCCCTCCCTCCCCTCCCCAAAATGTTATCAATTGTTGTACATTTTAGAGTGTCGATCTATGTAGATCCTAACTCTAATGTCACCCACTCGTTACTTTATCGAAGTCTTATCTTGATTAACACTTAAAAAGGTATCTCTTAGTGAAGTGATAATCGTAAAGAAACTCGCAGGATGAAGTTCATCCGTTTTCTTGATTTAGGAACTTACTTAGTATCTTGATCGTGAAAATCACACTCAATAGAAAACGAAAAGCGTGGATAATCGCGGAGATGGCTCACCTTTTGAAAGCAGAAGGATCAGTTGTACTTTGATCAATCTTGTAATGAAAATCCAAGCGGTCAAAATAAATGAACACCCAAGGCTGACGTTCCCTGTAAAACAGAATAAATTGTTTTATTTTTGCATGCTCAAATCCATCATTAGTTATATAAGTTAGATATAAAAAACCGAAATACCTGAACTAAAGAGGAAACATCTTCCCCTATCTTCTGGAGAACGAAAAAATATATGAATTTCATTTTTGCTTCCTTAATACTCTATTCCTTCCTGTGCAAGATTAGCTCGACAGTACGACGTGTGACAAAAACTTTGAAGAGGTTGGATCCAAATATATTGCTACAGAAATCAATTTACCAACGCTGGTGATATGCGATTCATTCGATCGCAAAAAATTTCAATATTCCAAATGGTATTTATAATTTTTTAATTCGACCTCGCTATTTGTGATTGTCTTTCTATTTGATAGACATTAACTCTCAGTTTTTATCGAAGACATAGATCATAACATTGAATAAAAATACCCTACCGTTTAAAGACAGAAGCTTCAATTGTACTGTGATCGATCCTGTGATGAAAATCCAACCGTTTAAACGAAATGAACACTAGCTGGTGACTGAAGTTTCCTGTAAAACAAAGTAAATTGTTTCATTTTGCATGCTCAAATCCATCAATTAATGTTTATGAAAGTTAGACTAACAAAACCGAAATACAAGAACCTAAACCGGAACACTTCAAGTTCGGGTGGTCTGCTTTTCCACTAAGATGAACACTTTCAAGGTAAAAATAATCGTCTTGTAGAAACTCACGCTATAAACTTCATCTGTTTTGCTTATATAGTAATTTACGCAGTGTCTTTGATATTGATGATGCAAATCACACTCATTAGAAAATGAGAAGTTCACCAGTAAAGAGTCGACCATCACACCCAAACACTGAAAAATACCCTATTTAGTTGTACTGTGATCGATCTCGTGATGAAAATCCAACCGTTTAAAAGCAATGAACACTTAAGGGCTGACGATCCCTGTACTAAACAAAGTACAATTTTTTTTCATTTTGCATGCTTAAATGCATCATTGTTTGTAAAATTCAAAACCGAAATACAAGTACCTTAAGGGGAACACTGCTCAACGTTCTTCTCTATTTTCCACTTATGAATCAGGAAAAAGTTCATGAATTTATTAATTCTTTCATGATTGGACTTCCATTTATCTCACAAGAAAATCCTGCCCGAGGTTGGCTCGAGAATTTAGGTGTTCTAGACATCAATGTATTAACATCATTACTACATGTATTCGTCATCGCTTTTATGGCGCGTTGAAGCTCTCTCAAATTGCTAGTTTCGTAGCCAAAGCGAAGCGGAAATAAAAACGCGAGAATAGCAGGGATGACCGATGGGACTTTTCAGGAGATTAGCTTCAAGGATCCCGCTGCATAAGTATGGTTTAGGTTCATTCCCCTTCTCTCCACTCTCCAGAATGTTATCAATTGTTGTATATTTTTTAGAGAGTGTTGATCTATGTAGATCCTGACTCTTAATGCCACTCACTCATTACTTTCTCTAAGGCGTACCTAGATTAACACTTAAAAGGGTAACTCCTAGTAAAGTGATCATCTTAGAGAAACTTGAACGTTTAACTTTATCCGTTTTCCTTATTTAGTAAATTACTTAATATCTTGATCATGCAAATCACACCCGCAAGAAAATGAAAAGTCTTGAAGAGCGGAATATCGCGGAGATGGCTCACCTTTTGAAGGCAGAAGGTTCACTTGCACTTTGATCAATCTTGTAATAAAAATCCAAGCGCTCAAAAAGAAATGGGGACTAAAGGCTGACGTTCCCTGTAAAATCAAGGAAACTTTCTCATTTTTGCATGCTCAAATCCATCATTAGCTATATAAATTAGATACAAAAACCGAAATACAAGAACTGAAGAGAGAACATCTTTCACTATCTTCATTCTGGAGAACGAAAATATACGAATGTCATTTATACTTCCTTAATACTCTATTCCGTCCTTCTCAAGATTAGCTCGACAGTGCGACGTGCGGCAAAAACTTTGACCAGGTCGGAACAGAATATATCTCTACAGAAATCAATTTTACCAGCGCTGGTGATATGCGATTTAGTCGATCGCAGAAAATTTTAATATTCAAAATGGTAGTTCAAATTTTTAATTCGACCTCGCTATTTGTGATTGTCTTTCTATTTGATAAACATTACCTCTCAGTTTTTATCGGAGACATTGATCATTACATATAGCATGATAGAACACTGACGCTTTAAAAAAAAAATGATGTATGTAGGCTATGTAAAGGCACTAACAGTGGGAAATAAGTTGAACTGTATCATTTTTTGGAATACAGCTAGTACTTACCAAACCTGTAGAATTCAGTGTCTCGCCATAAAAAATATCATGATGGTTATTTCCACCTCTGCTACTCCATTCCATTTTTTCCTAACACATGTCAGCTGTGACTCACATCAAAAAGCCAATAGAACATGATCTTCTGGTTCTTTCTGTCCCTTTCACAGTCACTCTTGTCCCCTGGCTTACCGTTTCTCCTGGACAACTTCAGAACCACCAAACTCACATGATTACACTTGATTAGACAAGATGTGTTGAAAGAGCAGTAAATGAGATTGACAGTTTATTATTTCCCTAAAACTTATCGTTGGACAAAACTATTTTTTTTTCTGATACTCCTCTGGACATAAACAACAAAAAATTTCATAACTTCCATCAGAGTTAGCACAGGGACTCCACTAACTCTGACTAGCCATATTCTTTTAGGTCTTTAAGTGCGATAGTCTCTAACTTTCGAACTTTCGTCGGCCACTTCATCCCGTCGATTTGGCTAAAATTTGGCATGAGCCTTACTTTATGGTCCTAATCACGAAATGGATATTAAAAGGTTCCAGTTATTTTTGCTTGCCAAAAAAACGGGAAAGTGCACTTGGTCTGCCCATACTTGCCCGCCAATATGACGGATCGAAGGTGATCTTTTGAATTCAACACGAGTCCTATCGTAAAGATTTCTCAAAATCTGGTGATATCCGAGAAACGATCTTTCCTTCTCCTTAACATTTATTTAAATAAACATGGCAAATGTCTAGTTTTAACAATATATGATCGCAACGTTCTAAGGTTGCTTTAGGCCGCCTTGAACTGTGAAAAATTTACCTCAACTTAGTAACCGAATATCTCCAGTGTTACCTCGATCCCGAAGTTACCATTTACTGTGAACAACGTCTGTTCATAGATGAACAGATTTCATAAACAGAAAAATGGGGGAAATGAAACGGTCAAGGAAAAAAATTATCAACCCGCAATGACCTGGCTATGTTTGGGACCTAGTCCTAAAAGCTCTGAAATCAATTTACGATCAGAAGAAAATGGTTGAAGTACATTTATCGTCCGGAAAGTTTCCTAATAGTATAGAAATATCTTTTCATTTCACGTAAACGTGATGATGTTCAAGCAAAATTGTTGCAAAGGTATGATTTTAGGTAACTAATTGAATTTAAACAAGCCATGTGCAATTACGCTCAGAGTTTAATTCGCTTACCGTTTTGAGAACGAAGGATTTTGTGAAAGAAACATTCTTATCAATTCTTGTATACTGTTGGTGATAGCAGTTGGTCATTTATTTGAATTAAATCACCGCGAACTTAAGATTAATGATACAGTACTTACAGGTCGCGCAATCGTAGATGATATGCAAATTCATCATGTTTTCCAACAGGAGTCAGTTTACCATTTCCTCAAGTTTGCAGCCTAAGAAAAACCCCAACCTTTGGCAAGTCCGTATCAGTAATCTTCATTTATATCAAAAGTAAGCCTTAAATACCAACGTAATTTACTCTGGCAGTGGCCACACACACGAAACGGAATGTGGTTTGAGGTAGACACCAACTCGAACTCGTGAGAATGCACAAGCAATCAAGTTTATTCATGAGCCTAAAAGTGGAAATTTATTGTTTTATTTGAGAATCCTGTTTAGATAAGGTTAGTGGCTTTTATCATTTTACTCTCCTTCATACTTCTTTGACAATTTTGCCCACAACAAGTACAAAAATTGAAATCTGTTTTGATTTTGTAGCAAACACTGAGATGTTGGTTTCACTGAGGTAAAATATTGGAAAAGTTCTCGTTTTTAACAGAAAGCCAAACCTGTTATGTCGGTGATTAACTTCCCTTTTTACTTCAGTTTATTTTCTAGTTCTTTGCATAAAGAGAATGCTCTAGAATAATGTTGGTCAAGAGCGATTTCTCGAGGTTTGCTGAGGATAGTTTCGGATATACCATGCAGTCGAGCAGGTGCATATCCCTTTTACGATGCACTCGAGACATAAAGCCTCATTTATGGGGCTTAAACGTCGTTAATGCGTCTTTGAGAAGCGAAATTCAATTACTGTGGGCTAGTCGGTACTGAGACAAATTTCATGCTTATGCATCGATCAGTTCGAGACTTCAACTTCCCTTCCGTGGAAATTGAACTCTTGAAAATTAGTTCTTCAAATTCCAACCCCCGGGGCCAAAATTATGTTCGAATGCCCTACCCAAGTTCATTCTTTATTTTTGAAAAAGGAAAACTTGAGCAACTCACTGGTATTTTACTGTCGTCCGTGCCTGGGGAATGGGAAATTTGAACCTCACGTGGCTGATGTGGGGAATCTGAACCGGAAATGTCGAGGTTTCTAAAGGGTTAAAGAATAAAGGTCTGCAAGGTTTAGAGTTTTAAAGCTCAGTAAAGGAGTAGAAAATCACGGATTTGACTTCGTTTTGTCGATTTGACAAACTTTTCAAAAGCGATTTGTCAAAAAGACATCTATTCTGAATGTTTTTCGGATTAGAAAAATATATTTGAATTGTCCTTTTCGCCTTCCATACCTTTCTCATTGCCATCAAAAAAAAAAAATAAATGAAATATGGTTGCTTAGGTCTTGGATCTGAACTTCTGTTTTCGCTACAACCAACAATTCACGGATGAACAAGGATTCAATTCGAATTCATAGTTCCGTTTTTCATTTAGATTAGGTGTAAAAGCTTGTTTAAAGCCATCGAAAGAAATTTTAAAAAATATCCTTCAGAACAGCTTTTCAAAGCAAAATAGAACAACATCAACCGTTCATGGCACAAAGGAGTATGCTCCCCGAGACCAAGACATATTTGCTGCAATTAGAGGTTAGTAAAGGGTTTGCAGAACTTAAACGAATAGAGCTAAGAACTCTGCGTCTCAACCAATCGTAACCATCTTCACTGTTAGCTTAGAAATGTAGCACTTGATCTCTCGCTTGTTTATTATTACAAAATTGTCAGACAACAAACGCAGGAATAATTATTAAAGTAAGCGGTTTGGAATACGCACGCAAGGCAATAGACAATTTGGTGTCGACGATTTAATAACGTCTGCTTGAAAACCTCGCCGGCATATCAAAAAACATGAAGTAACACTTGTTTTCTTAATTATTTTCAGCTGAGGTACTGACATCATTCGCATATCAGTGCCGCGGCACCGACGACCGCCTACGCATGTAGGACCAGTGCAAGACAAGCATCGCCAAACGATGCCAAAACCTCCGCAAGAATAGGCCAAACTAGGATCGATGCCATATGCTTCGTTTTTGCTCATTAGTTTCTGTATTTATTGTAATTAGTCAATGAATAAAGGCAGAGAAGTATTTGTAACTGACTTTTGGGATTCAACATCGAATTTAGGGACCATTCGGAATACGCGTGGTGCAACTTAAATCGGATTTATTTTTCTCTGCAAGGAAAATAAAAAAGATCAGTCGAACAATAGGGAAGGTTTTCGTCAGGGTGGAATAGAATACAAGTACCAAACGGCGCTAGGTCTCTCTTACTTGCAAAAAAGTAAATTTTCGAATCCTCTTTCACACTATCCAAACTTCCCACGTTAATGACAGAATTCAAATTTGTTCATGTGTGAATGCAATCTGCGAAAACTAAAGAAACATTCGGATACCATATCGGCCAAAAACGTGTGTACTATTGATTGAAGTCAAAAGCGATGCAGATAATTTACTATTACAGGAGCATCTGATGACAATGATCAGAACAAGCTTATGTTTTTTCTTTTCTGGTATAAAACCAAACTTAAAGTCTTTATTCTTGGTAAGTTAAGCAATTATTTCTCACCGTTTGTATTCGTGACTTAACTTCAGCCGAGGACCTGATGTGTATTTCGTGACCGTTATATGAAAGGTAGATCTCGTAAATCGCATGGCGAACAGTGGAGTCTATCCGGCGCGAAATTTCGAGCAGTAGGCAGTAAACCGACGCTTTTTATCGCGAAATTTCGCCGAACTTTCGTTTCGAAGCGAAAATTCGACGAAACAGCGCTCTTTGTTCAACGGACAATTTGCGCAAAAAGCCTCGAATTGTCATTCGCACGAAATTTCGAAGAAAGTTCGCGAGAACAAAAAACGAAATTCGGCATTTCGCTTGCGTTACTTTTGCACAATACTGTAGATAACAATTCTATGTGCTCAGTCTGCCATAATTTTCTCACAATTTAAACTTTAAAATCTTTGCGACCTTTCTTCTTAAGAGTGTTTTCATATTTGAAGGAGAAATTCCTTTTTGGTTCTTTTGTGGGAGTGATATGGTGTCTTAATGAAGTAAAACGAGCAGGTAAAGTCAGCAAAGATTAGTTTACTTCTAGACAATAAAAATTGTTCGATTTCTTGTTCCAACAGTACTATCATCGTTCTGCTGGAGGTTCTGGTATTCCTGAACTGATTAGTTTCCTAAATGGCGCAGTAGTGCAACACATCTTTAACCTCAGGACTATGGTAGTCCAGTTTTTCTCCTGTGTTCGTGGAATTGACGCAGGACTTTCTATCAGCCCTAAAGGTCCAATGATCCATCTTGGGTATATTTTTCATTGGATGTTTGCTTATGTCTAATCAGAATAAGCAGGATCTGAAATTGTCAACAAAAGTCTTGGGACACTCAAAAGTAATATTGTAAGTTATTTTCTTTCTTGCAGCAGTCAACTCAAAAGATTGATTTTTCAATGTCCACTTAGCAGTATTAAATTATCTATTAGTTAATTGTATAGGGTTCTAAAAGTCATAAAGTGAATGTTTTGCCTTTTAAAACTGACAGAACCCTCTTTTGAAAAAATCAGCTCATCCAGATTTACCAAAAGGAAGAGCAAGAGGAAGAAGAAGTTGATGAAGATGAAACAGGGGATTCTACAAAGCCAGGACTGTTTTACAGCCCACCAAAGTCTAATTATCAACCTCCAGGAGGAGGTGCTAATACCAGTGGCAATGACTCCTCAACAACTGATCTGATTATTCCTGAAGAAAGTAGTGATACATGTATTCAAAAGCAATCAGAGGGAAAGTACAGCAGTAGAAATGGTAGACACAGAGCAAGACATAAACATTGATGACATGAACGATAGTGGAAACATGGAAGTTTGTCTAGTATGTTTGTTTGTTTGTTTGTTTGTTTTTTCACATGGTTGTGTTTGAGTCTGTTCAGAAACTGTGCCTTCTGGTAAATTATGTCATTTGATTCATGATTATGGAAAGGGTTTCATTTAATTTTCTCTCTCTATATTTGGTGCAGATAGAAAATACACTTGGATACAAGAGAGACCTTTGTCATCTTATGAAACAGAACCCTTTTTGGATGGAAGAAATAGTAAGGGAGTTTTTTATTGATTTTTGTTGAGACAAATCAAGTCAGGTGTTACATATGGTTTGATTTTAGTTGTCAATAATCTATAGACTGCACTAGTGTGTCCTTATTACATGTAGATGTATAAGTTTTTTCTGACTACTAAAGATTTTTTTTCACAGCTCCTGATGAAAATAAAAATACTGGAGGACTTTTCACAGTATCAAATAAATTTTGGGCAACAGCACTTGCAGATGTTTTAATACCCAGAGACCAAGTGTCAGTTGGAGATCCTTTATACAGAGGTTAGCTAGATACAAAGAACTTTGGATGTTATTTTATTTCCTGGCACATAAACTTGCTTTTCCTCTTTTAAATTTTGATTGCTGAGCAACCTGGCTGACAATTAACCCCTTTGGTCTAAGTGAAGTTATTAATGGTAAGCTTTGTGGTTCCCTACTGCATTCTTTTCTTCAACTAATTAAATTTTTCTAATTAAATATTTTAAGTGCAGTACAGAGTCCTGTAGAGTTGTGTTTTGACTCAGTTTTATCCTTCACAGATGAAGTAGACATGGAGACCATCACTTCTTTTATGTAGGAAGCAATGGTCATAAAAGGCTTCAAGCATCCAAATGTTGTGGAACTGGTGGGTGTGATACTTCAATGTTCAACGCCACCTTACATCGTAACTCCCCTAACACGAAATGGATATCTAGGACACTTTTTGAAGATTTCAAGAGCAACATCTGCAAGAGTACAGGTGAGAACACAAGAATAGCATCAATAGGGAGTGTGGAGACAGTCTACTGTAAGAAATGGTTGGGATTGTTGGCCAGAAATTGGTGTACCTCTGGTCATTAGACCTGTTGCGGCAAACGAACATCAAGAC